TGAATCCAATTATTCGGTGGATAAAGGCCTGACATTATCTGTAGTTTAACTATAATTGCTTACAGAGATTATGATTATAGATCATGATTATAATAAATATGGTCATCCGTATATTGAGAAACTCTTGTGTAAGAACAGTAATACTTGTTATGGCTTTACTCTTTTTTGCCATTCGTTTTTTCCTTTTTTGATTTTTTTGTATTTTTATCCTGCTTAATTAAATAAAATAGATAAATCTAGACAATATACAAATATATGTATGTATGTATATATGAGAAACCCAGGCATATATTATTTTTGTTGTTGCTTTGCTTTCTTTTTTTCTATGTGTATCTATATGTGCATGAGTATGTGTATTTTTTTAAAAAAAAAAATCTTCCATTTATTAATTTCCCATCCCCAAACTATGTCAGCCTAGTCCTCTCTAAAATTAAGGGGAGAGAGAAATTGAAGTTATTAACAAACATTTAAAAAATATTATTCTTTTAATTCAGATGATCCCATTTTAACAAACTTCATAGCAGAAGCTGGATCATGAGACACAAGGATTTAAATATAAGATCAAAATGTTGTAAAAAAAAATCCCTTTTACTCCCAGATAAGCTTTGCTGAAAAGCTTCTGCTTCTGAACTATCTATAGAAGAAAAATTAAAATAAATTATTGAAAAATCAATATCTTCTGTGTTGTGCAAAATATGGTTATGTGCTAATAAAGAAGAATATTGCAGTCAAAGACTAGTACATATTAAAACTCAATAGTATAAAACAAAAGATACACACACAAACAGACACACACACACATATATAAGGCCAAACTGTAAAATTAACTAGGCTTATTGATCTGATAGCACACTTTGCATATGGTGCAGCAGAATTACTGTATATCTCAGGGAAATCCCAACAATAGAAGAGGCTTTTGAGCTGAATCAGAATGGAAACTCAGCTTCAATTTCAAGTTTATATGTCAGCTGCAGGGATAAAATTTCACATGTAATTTTTAATATGAAAATTTGTATACTCTGGTCTTACTCAGAACTGTAAGGCATATTCAGAAAACAGAAATTAATTCTTTGATAAAGACCATGTAAGCAGATAACTTCATCCCAAAGATCTTTGTTTACTTTCAAAATGTTTCTCATAACTCTTACTAATTATTATAGTATTTTCAAGTAATCCGTATTTCATCTGAATCAGTCACAGATTTTTCTGCTTAATCTAAAGCATTATATTTCTGATTGAAATGCTTAAATTTATTATTCAAAAAAGAGCAACTATTTTTATATGCATAATTTCAATCATTCTAAAATTTGTATGTCATGGGAAGTGATTCAGTTTGGTTTTCTTTTTTCTTTTAGGTCTAGGCTAAATTCATCTGAAGATGAGATATAGTCCTTCTCTGATTCAGCAAGCTGCTCTTCATCAAGAAAGGGAAAAAATGTTTTCTCTGTCCTTTTTTTAATGGATCCATAATAATCCATAATGTATTATAGAAGCTACTGGCCAGTAATGTAGACAGGATTTTTTTTCTGTTAACAATTAAGCAGGAAAGGAGTCAAAATAAGCAGTAAGATTATCATGTAGATCAGGGGTGATCTGAAATTCTAATTCTGGATACTGCCATAAACAAATTATAAGTCCAATGTAATATACCAAATTTAAGGCTTAGCATTTCTGAAAGTGAGTCCCACTAAAAAATAAGTAAAATTTAATGAAAACTCAACATATTAGAAAAGGTATGAATTATGTATGATCTTTCAAATAGCAAGGAAATATTGTTCAATCTCAAATAAAAATTCAAAAGATTTCTTAAGATCTTTCAATCTAGTCTGTTTTGGGCCAGATTAAACAGTTCTTTTTGGTATCATAAAATGATGATAATTATTACCTGACAAGGTAATAAACCTCAGAACAAAGCCTTAAGGTTCTCAGAGTATGCTAAGAATCTATAACTTTTAATTGAAATACTAAGATAACCTTTCACTATTTCTCAGTGCTGTAATTTTCTGACTAAGACTATAAAGAATATAGTCTTATTTTTTCTTATTTTATTTTTTTCCAGCTTTTTACATTTCCACTTTTTCTTCACTTTCTATATTTTCTTAAGTTTGCATCAGTCTTTTATTTATAAACTTCAATAAAATGATTGTTAAAAAAGAATAAACGTAATAGCTAATAAAAAAGTTTAAAATACCAATAAAACAATGTAAGAAATCTTAAAAGGAAAGTAGAAGAAGAAATTCAGAGGGATAAAATATGCCATCAATCAGCAAATACATTTAATTAATTCAAATTGATGTCATCCATTTCACACCATCTGATAACATAATACAGGATTCTTAGGAAGAAAACATCTTTCCTTGGAATTGCAACCCATGTTATTTATTTTTGTACACTATTTCAGACACCAGATAGGATTAATGCTACAATAGATATTGAATAAAAACTTGAAGAAGGAAGGAAGGAAGGAAGGAAGGAAGGAAGGAAGGAAGGAAGGAAGGAAGGAAGGAAGGAAGGAAGGAAGGAAATCTTGATATATATCATTTCCTATTGGTAGTAGCAAAATGACAAATACTTAACTTGAATCTGAGGTTCTTTTTTAGCTGTCACAACCCCATCTGCTATTTTTCTGAGGACTAAGTCATGAGAAATTTAAACTACCTGATGAAGTATTTCATTACATGGATTCATCATTTGAGAATTGAGCCCTTCTATGAAGACCTCCCCCTTATCCTTGAAATGATGGATGCTATTATTCTAGGAATGGAGTGAACCTATCACATCTTGGACAATCTCATCTGGCTTTCTAAACATCTCCATTTCAAGCATCTTGATTTTATTCCCCGATTGACTGTCTAAGCATTTCTAGTTCAGTCATTTTGATTTCAATATACAGTCAATATATCACTATTAACAAGCAGATACTCACATATTTGACACTTTGTACAATAAACTGAAATGCATCTTTCCCCTGTTGGCTTTTTAATATGAATAATTAGGCATTCTTCTTCTTTAAGAACTATTTGATGTAAAATGTAGCTTAGCTGTTACACTTTTTCAGAATTTGGTGCCCCAGCTTTCTTCCACAATTGTTAAACTCACTTTGACCTTTAATCTCTGGAAAGAGAAGGTCAATGGGCTCCTCTGCCTTCTTATCTCCTCTGCTAAATTCTCTCACAAATCTTCCTGTTGCTGTTTGTCCTCCCACTCAGTTTCTTTGCAGTATATACTCTCATTTGCCTCTTTTCTTTGCAATGAATTGTTACAGGAATAACTAAATGAACTAAGTTAAGCCTACGTTACCTGTCAGTAGATCAAGTTCCTTGCAATAACTTTTTCTAATCAAGATATATGGGTCTCTTCTCTTTAATATCTACATGAAACCCCTGGGCAGATCATTCAGCGGAGTGGAGTTCAGTATCACCAGTACTCTGATGACATTCAGTTATACATCTCCACCCTTTGCTGGACAGGGAATTCTGTTGCAATGCTGATCAAATGCTTGAAGGCTGTGAGGATCTGGATGGAAAGGAACTGACTTCAACTCAATCCTGGTAAACGGAGTGACTTTGTTTTTGGTCCCTCAAAGTCTCATGATATGTCATTTTTTACTCTGGATGGAGGTGTGCTTCCCCGGAATCAGCTGGTGCACTATTTGGGCATCCTCCTTGATTCACAGCTCTTACTCAAGTAGCAGGTGGAAGCCATGACTGGGGAGGCTTTGCGCAGATTTGTTTTATGCACCAATTGTGGAGGAGGTAAAGATAGCTATCTGCACACTGCAGATGGCCTTATACAGTATAAGAGATAGCTGAACAGCAGTAAGAAGATTAAGAAGAAAGGAGGAAAGCTAATAATAACTAATGCAGTATAAGAACAAGTGATAAGAATGTTAATTATGTTCATAATTCATAAAACCACCAAATAGTTATTTTCATAGGGGACATTACTTTAAATCATAATCATAGGAATAAAATAATGTATCTATCTACTTGAATTAAAAAAAATACTAAAAATAACCATAGTAGTGGATGGTAGTAGTACTTGTGAGAAATATACACATCTGTTGTCTGATAAATTGTCACTTGTAACTTGCTACAAGAAGCTGATGGCACTGGAATGATAGCAAAATGGCACCAAAGTTAGAAATTGCAGTTAAATTAGTTATTGTGGGGCAGATTGCAGACTTTTCAAACATAAAAGTTTAATGTGGCAGCCAAACGTCATGCTATTTCCTTTTGGTTTTGCTCTGTTGTCAACAAAAACTGTCAAGGTGGAAAAATCCAGTGGGAATCAGATTTTTAAAAATAGTGTACAAGAGTAAACAGGTAAAAGAAAGAACTGTCCAATATTTGTAGGCTGCAGATTTTTTTAATACCCCCAATATGAATGGATGTATTAAAATGGAATTTTAATGTAATGAATGTATGAAAATTGAATTAAATAGCCTCCATTCCAAGTGTTTTGGCTTAAGATGGATTATCTGGGAACATTATAGAAATTATTAATTAATTACTATTATTAACATAAATTAACATTAAATTAATATTGAAATTGTGCTTTCCAAAAGATGAAAAGCCTTTGTTGTCAGAAATAATAGATATGTTTCTTTTTAATAATAGGAGTAAAGTAAAAATGCATGCTAGATGCTAGGAACTCGTTTTATACTAAAAAGCAGTTAGACAATATGTAGTACAGGGGTGCAGTGTAGTAGAGCAGGATGTCATTTAAAGGACAGAAATATTTGATACTCATTATGAGTACACAATGAATTAACTGAGGATTGAAAAAAAGAAGAGAGAAATAAAATAAATACATGCAAGTATTTATTTCCAACATGTGATGGTTTCTCTTTTTATTAACTAAAAAGAGGATTCCATCGTTTTTTTTAAGGAATATGCAACCCATAACCAAATGTGGGAGTTTTAGCACATGCTAAAGAGTAAATATAAAATAAAGAGAGTCAGAGACTGTGTTCACACGACATATAAATCTAGACTTACCTTACTACGGCCGCAGTACACAACAAATACTTTGTCACTGGTGGCAATTGTTTTAGTCCACAACAAAGGATCATAGAAGCATACAGTAAACTGTAGAATTACAAGAGAGCAGACATGTCATTTAGTCCAACCATGTAGTGATTGCATCAGTTTTCTTATGATTTGTTGCTACATTTATACATCGAATTGAAAATAAGTAGTGAGGCAGAAGTTGATGAGGTCCATAATTCTAGGTATTTTCATCTTAGTATATTGGATTAGGTTGGATATGTTGTCTAGTACTGCTGTCATCATATCAAGCACAAAGAATCAGGACCATTTATAAGGTTGCAGCATAGAAGATTTATTCAAGCCTATACACAAAATCTGAACAACAAAAGTTGTTCAGTCTAAGTAGTTCAAATGAATATAAAGGTTTATAGCAAACTTATGTTCTCTATAAGAATTGGAACTACTAACAGTCAAAGCAAATTGAATTCAAGGTGGGCTAGAGACTAAGATCCCTTGTGGGTACAAAGGGATTCAAGACTGTATTTGACCCCTCCCTCATGTTCAGCCTCGTCATCTTCTATATTCAACTATATTCAGCTAAATTGGTGCCAGATAAAGATCAACAGAATTCAGGAGTGAGTGGCTTTGGAGCACAGCTTGTGGGAACACAAGGACTCTAAACTGATGACTATTTAACTCTGTCTTCCAGTACTGGAATGTGGTATGGTTAGAGTTAATACTATAGATCAAGGGGATCTCTACTCCCTTTTACAATATGGGGGTGTGAAAAATTACTGATAAGACAGAAATGTTTGCCTAAAATGCATCCTTAAGACATTTTCACACAACTACCAATCTCACTCTCTTATCTGGTACTGTAGTTTTGCAGAAATACATGTGTATCCTCATTAGTTTTCTGTGGGACTAGGTTAGATGAGAAAGGGGATTCAGCTGACCATAAATAAAATTGAAAAATCAGCATTCCAGCAATCACTCACCCTGCTTCTTTCTTGATTGCATCTGGTTTCCAGAGAGAAAAAACAAGGTAGTGATTATTTGGACAGAGAGAGAGAGAGAGAGAGATGCTTGTTAAATTTCTCTTGAAGACAGTCACATTATCTTGCTACCTGATGTACAGAGAATTTTCAGGAGCTGCAAGGCAATATGGAATGAAACTCAATCAGGAGAGTGAGAAGAATTAAATCACTTCTTAATAAGTAGCTGTTTGACCAGGGAAAACTAGACCTCTTTGAGACTAAATCAATTCCCTTCTAAGCTAATTGAACAGCTTGAACAATTGAACATTTTTCCATGTTACAGTTTTCATGACTTGCTTGTCCTCTGCCCCTAACACTCATTGCTCATTGAAGCACATCATGTCACTGTGGCTACAGAGATGAAAAGGACATTTAAGCCATGAAGTTCAACCCTAGCTCACTGCAGGAATTTGAAGCCACCCCAATAGACAGCTGGATATGTTATAATATAAGTAACTGGCACTTTGAAGTCAAAACTAGTCTTTTGACCAATATAATGTTTGTCTTTTTTTTTTGACAAACTTTGCCTTTTAACTGGGGAGAAGAAGAAATGTACACAATGATTTCCTCCTTGACCGAATATTTTTAAGATAATGTTCTAGACTGGAGTGGGTAGACAGAACAACAAAATAACAGGGTTTGAAGGGATCTTAGAGATCTTCTAGTCCAGCCCCCTGCTCAAGCAGGAAACTCTGTACTATTTCAGACAAATGGTTGTCCAATCTCTTCTTAAAAACTTCCAGTTGTGGACACTCATAGCTTCTGAAGGCAAGTCTGATCAATTGTTTCAACTGTCAAGAAATTTCCCCTTAATTCTAGGTTGGTTCTTTCCTTGATTAGTTTCCATCCATTGTTTCTTGTCCTGCCTTCAGGTACTTTGGAGCAGAATTCCCCAACCTTTTCAGCTTTGCAGACTGGTGGTGGGACAGGGGATATTTCTGCATGAGCAGCAGGAAAGCACACATGCGCACACAGCTCCATTTGCATGAGCTGAGATCATGCATACCAGTTGCGTGCACAAATGGAGCATGTGCACACGTGGTTGCTTACTACTTACAAACATAGGGATGCATGCACACACACGCACTCACCCACCCCTTCCGCAGCCTGGTTCTTAATGGTTCAAGGCCCGATAGTGGGCTGCAGCCTGGGGGGATGGGGATCCCTGCTTTGGAGAATTCGTTGAATCCTTCTTCTTTGTGGCAGCCCCTTAGATATTGGAAGACTGTCACCCCTAGACCTTTTTTTTTTCATTAAACTAGATATACCAAAATCCTGCAATCATTATTCATATGTTTTACTCTCCCAGTTCCCTAATCATCTTTGTTGCGCTTTTCTGCACTCTTTCTAGAGTCTCAATATTTTTTTTATATTGTGGCGACCAAAACTGGAGCAATATTCCAAGTGAGACCTTACCAAAGCATTATATAGTGCAGAGCTTTTCAACCTTTTCACCCATTCTACCACTTTTAGGATATGGCAACATCCGAGTACCACCAGTCGCCTAGCAAGGTGTCAAAAACTTGATGACCAAAAAAAAGGGGAAAAAGTGATAAAGTACAGGTAGTCCTCAACTTACAACAGTTCGCTTAGTGACTGTTCGAAGTTACAATGGCATTGAAAAAATGCCCCCCAACACACAGCCGAGCAAGACACCTGCCTGCCTGCCCGGCTGGCCGCGCTCTTCCTCCTGTCCGAGGTTTTCATTGTTGTGAGCATTTCTGTTGAGGATTGGCAGTGGGGGTGGGGGAGTGGGGGTGTTTGGTTTTTATTCCCTCCATCTGCTGGGAGGTTGCAGCAGGTTTTGGTCACTTCACATGACCCTGGGACACTGTGACCATCATAAATATGAATCAGTTGCCAAGCATCTGAATGTAAATCATAAGACCCTGGAGATGCTGCAACATTCCAGCTGATTGGCGCTTCTTCTGGGTTCAGAAGAAGCACCAGAATCAGTGCTGCTTTCCAGCTAATTGGTGCTTCTTCAGGCCTCAGCAGAAGCACCAGGATCAGCGCCGAGCTCCAGCTGGAACCTGGCGCTGATCCTGGCGCTTCCGCTGAGCCCTGACAGCCCTGCAGCTCCAGCCATCTCTTGCTCAGGCTTGTGCGGTGCTGCCACTGGTTCAGCTCATTCCCCTCCCTGCTACCACTTTTCTAGGATGGTCGTGTACCATCTGCCAAGTGCCAAAGTACCACAGGTGGTACCCGTACCACTGGTTGAAAAGCCCTGATATAATGGTACTTACACCTCAGGTGATCTTAATTCTATCCCTCTGTTAATGCAAAATAGGGCTGCAAGGGCTTTTTTTGGCAGCTGCAGCATACTGCTGGCTCACATTTAATGATTGTCCACTAGGACTCCCATATCCCTCTCACAGTTACTACTATTGAGGCAGGTATCTCCTATTCTGTACCTGTGCATTTGGTTTTACTTGCCTAAATGTAGAACATTACCTTTCTTATCACCTTTTTTACCCTTCTTGACCCCTCTTTGAAATCCCTTTACTCTCTTCTCAGTATCACTGTTAAAAATAATGGCACATTGTTTTACCAGGCTAAGCCAGCTAGCACTTTAAATGTGTAGTGGCATACTTTGAAAACATTTTTAAAAATAGAACTCTCCTCCCCCCCCACACACACACACACCTCTTCCCAGCACTCTTTCCTAAAATCAGGAAAAATGGGTCAATTACTTTGCATCATTTCTAAGTCCATTGTGGCTTTTAGGCTCATCCCAAAAGTGTGGCCTCTAATTACCAAAAAAAAAAAATGCTCTTGAAAAGATAGAGAAAACAAAGAAAGAAATAGAATCTGTTCACATGAAACATTTCACCAGGTCAAAGGAGAAAGTTATGTTCCCATTTTTCTTTTCTGCCTCTTGCAACTATGGTACATGAGAAAATAGATGGATTAGAAGTCCCAACTCTGTCCAGACAGATAAGAATTTGGATTAGATTATGGATTGCTTTATTTTTTAACTGGAGAGAGCAAGGAACTGACAGCTTCCAGTCTTCTTTGATGCAATTAGATGGACTTTAAAAGGCTGCTCCCAGGTTGCCTAGGCATATGCAACCTTTAATAAAGTCCTTTATTATTCTGCTATCCCACAACAAATGGCCCTACAATGGCCAGTAAAGCTCCACCCCAAACTTTCCCAAAGGAGCCACCCACAGTCAGTGCAACACACTCCCACAAAAGCCAATAGTCACCAGAGCTGATTCACAAGGCAAGAAAGAAGTCCGTAGACCAAAACCAAGGTGCAAACAAAGCAAAGTCCATAAGTCATAAACAAGGTTCAAAGTCCATAAGACAAGGTCCGTAGTCCACAAGCAAGATTTAAAATCACAAGGCAGAAACACAATCCAAAGCAGAGTCTACAAAGGCTGGGGAAGCGCATGGCAAAGCAAAACAAATGTTCCCAACAAAGACACTCCCCCCTTGGCCTCTGATCAAATCAGCTCAAGCCAATTGTTCCTCATGAGGAGGGGTGGGGTGACCTTCTCGCCAGCAGCCTCACAAACCTCCTTTGAGCTTTCCTCCACTCCACCCTCTGGGCCATTAGATCAAATGGGTGAGGCAGCTATTCCTCAACAGAGGGAATATGCTGCCTTTCATCCGCACTGCCTGTCTGCAGCTGATCTTCCTCTGTTTTTGAGGGCAGTACTCCCCCAATGCTGGAGCTGGGGACTGGGACAACATCATCCTCAGCCCCTGGAGTCTCCAGACATTCCAGGGGAAATGTACCATCCCCGTCCCTATTCCAACTCCTCCTCCTCCTCTGAACCGGAATTCAAGGTAGCCATGACAGTCCCCCTCTGACTAGAAAATTCACTGCTGCTGCCCACAGGTACCTTGGGGTATATTTACTTAGCCAAAGAAGCAGTGTAATAAATTTATCTTAGCATTAGTTTGGAAAATAGAAGCTCTAAAGCTCTTGTGATGCCCTCTCCCTTTTTAGCCAGAAAAAGTAGCAGTTGCAGTTGCCTTTAATCTGCCAGGCAAATCCCAAAACAAAGATACAAAGATAAAACATAATCTTCTCAAGAGAAATCTTTTATCGCATTGCAACACCACAACCAGAATCTCTCCTTTAAAAAAATCACATCTAGAAGATCTTCATATGTAAGATGTTTGAGCCCCACAAGGCAAAGTGCGATCTTTCTCTCCGGACTTCCTGTCCTATGGATATGAGAAGTCCGGAGAGAAAGATCATTCTTTGCCTTGCCTCGTCACAAATGTACACATCTAAAGTACCTCACATCAAAGCCTATCACTACATGACCAAAGTCCATATTATTACAAGTACTTCTATTCTTAGCTTTCTTAGGCAGGACAAGAAGCAATGGATGGAAATTAATCAAGAAGAAAAGCAACCTAGAACCAGGAAGAAATTTCCTGACAATTAGAACAATTAATCAATGGAACAATTTGCCTTCAGAAGTTGTGAATGCTCCAACACTGGAAGTTTGTAAAAAGAGATTGGACAGCCATTTGTCTGGAATGGTATAGGGCAGGGGTAGGCAATCTTGGCTCTTTTATGACTCGTGTTTCATATTAAGATTTGACAGCGTTGCACTGTGCAGTAGTGGTTCATAATGCCATAGTACATGAACTACAGGGGCAGCAGTCACCTCATACTCCTGAAATCCAGGAATTAAGGTTGAAAAGCAAGAAGCTGGCTCAGGAATTCTGGGAGTTGAAGTCCATGAGTCATAAAAGAACCAAGGTTGCCTACCCCTGATATAGGGTTTCCAAACTCTGCATAACCCTTTGATCATTATACTCCATGTTACACAATAGAATAAATTACCCTCTGCTTCAAACAACTGCCCAGTGTGTTTATTTACCTGGTCACAATTGGACCAAATGAAATTCTTCTAATAATTGCTATCTTCTTGTTAACCAAGAAACTGAAGGTTCTCTTTGGCTGTTGTAGCACAGACACATGCTAGCAATAAGTATTTCAACTATACCTATAATTTTATCACCTTTGATGGACTTTTGATAAAGCAAATAAATATTGGGCCCAGGTTCATGTTATAGTGCAGAAGATTCTTAAAACTAACATAAAATTAAAATCTGAAAAATTTATTTTAGGATTACTATATAAGGAATTGTAAAAAAGATTTGTTCTGGCAGTGATCAATGCTTCCCTGCAGGAGGGATGATGCCCCAGCCTTTTAAGGAGACTGTATTCTGCCCTCTTTTTAAGAGAGGATTCCACTCTATTAGATAATTTTTGTCCTGTCTAAACTTCCCTTCCTGGGGAACATTGTTGAGAAGGTGGTTGCACTAGAGCTCCAAAGTTCCTGAATGAAATAGATTATCTTGACCCTTCCATGTGAGAGTCAGGTGTGGATATGGCTCAGAAATGGCATTGGTTGCTCTTTTTGATGATCTATGATAGGAGGGGGATAGGGGTGCATGTGTCCATCCACATTATCAGCCGTTTGATATCATCAACCACAGTATCCTTCTGGAGCAGCTTTGGGGATTGGATTGGAGGCAGTGTTGACCTAGTTCACTTCCTTTTTCTATGGCCGATTTCAGTCAGTGTTGATAATAAGCAAGAGGTCCAGCCCTTGCCCCCTGCTTTGTGGGAATCTTACAGGATTCAGCACTTTCTCCACTTTTGTTTAACATCTACATGAAGCCACAGGGTGAGATCTTCTACCATAGGTTGAGATATCAATATATTTACGAACAGGTTTTTTTTGTCATAGAACGCCCAGAACGGAGTTCCGGCACCT